ATGGCATGATTATAAGGCTAAATAACTGGCTTGTGTTGAAAATTTATTAAATTGCTTATTTTACTTGTTGGGAGTATAAGGATGGACAAATGTAATTTAGCCTAATGGTATGTGGGAGGTAAAAATTTATCTGAAATGTTATAGTATGTGAGTTGAAGCCAAATATAAAATATTTTATATTGAAATTATTGATATAAAAATGTGTTGGGTGGCTGTAACCCAACTATGGTTGAGTTAAATTATTTAAAAAAAAAATTTTTGGTGTGTTACAATTTTGGTATCAGAGCTCCGCTCAACCCGCCTACCTGAGGTCTTTTGCGGCGCTGGACAATCTGCCCTCAGGCCCCACAACAGGGCGACCCCATCCCTTACGGTGAGCATCAGGAGACAAAGGCTTCTCCGCAGTAGTATGCGAATTATTCCCCTTGCGGAGAGCCTCCCCAGGTTCGATCCTCCAACCTCTCTTACATAACAAAGTTGAGGCTGAACCTGGTACCAATGCAGGTTCAGCCTCAACTTTGTTATGTAGGAGAGGTTGGAGGATCGAACCTGAGGAGGCTCTCCGCAAGGGGAATAATCCGCATACTACTGCGGGGAAGCCTTTGTCTCCTGATGCTCACCGTAAGGGATGGGGTCGCCCTGTTGTGGGGCCTGGGGGGAGATTGTCCAGCGCCGCAAAAGACCTCGGGTAGGCAGGGTGAGCGGAGGGCTATTACAACAAATATCAATCATAAGTTTTGTTTAAAAAATTACAACTTTTTTTTTTAAATTACAAGAATGCAACAACAAATTATAAGTTCACATTTTAAATTCTTGATATTGCTAAAGTGTTAAAAATAACAAGTGCCAATCATAAATTTCATTTAAAGAATCATAACTTTTCTTCTAAAAATCACACGAATGCAATAGCAAATTATAAATTCACATGTTAAATTCCTGATATTACTAGTGTTGAAAATAACAAGTGTCAACCACAAATTTTATTTAAAGAATCACAATTTTTTTTAAATATCAAGAATGTAACAGCAAATTACAAGTTTGCATGTTAAAAGCAATCAATTTGAATGGATCAAGAGAAATTTGATCATTTATATTAAATCATCAATGACAAATAAAAAATCTAACATGCAAAGTTATAATTTATTGTTGTATTGTTGTGAATTTAAGAATAAAAGTTATAAATATAAGAAAAAAATTGTGAATCATTTATTTTCAATAAGGATAATTTGATAATTTATATAAATTTATTAATGATAAAAAAGTTTTTAAAAATTTTAAAAAAATTATGACATTTTAAGGAATCAAATTATCATTTATATATTTTAAAAAAAATTTATTATTATTTTTTAAAATTTTATTATCATTTTTTCAAATAATTGTGCTTCACTGTGACTGATGATGTTGTCAGTTGACAGATGCATTATGCTTGCCAACTTACATGCCGTGACGAACTCGGATGTTCCTTTTTTTTTTTGCCTTCTTTTTGGTGAAAATGAGACTTCTTTCTAAAGCAAAGTTCGAGCAATTCTGATGATAATTGTATACCTGTAGAAAACATTTTTCGAATAACATATATACTTATTATTTTTTATAAGTAATAAAATCGATTAAAAAAAAAAACAGGAAGTGGTTGGAAGCATAATGGGAAGGATTCGTTAGATGAGATGAGACGCTCTGTCTACACAGAATGGCGCAGCACAACGTACTTCCCTCTTTCCTCAAGACCTCTTTGTACTCTTTATAACTGCTGTACCAAATTGTAAATACATTCGTATATATATATATATATATATATTTCTTAATATTAATACTGGAATACATGTACTTAAAGAAATTATTTTTTTAATTAAATTAAGATATATGAATCTTTATATATTATTTATTTTAACAATATCTTTTTATTAATATTTTTTAAATTTTAAAATCTACTTATTTTGATTTGATTGAACAATGATATATTGTGTATAGAAAATTAAAGTATTTTCCTCTAAACAATCATATACATGGCTTATAAGTTATAAATAATAAAATTGCTTAGAATCATGTATAGTAATTAAAGTCATAGAGAGAGTGATTAATATTAAATCATCATTAATTCAATTTTCAATGTAAATAATTAACACATATATAATATCATCAATATTATTTCATATATATAAAATTATAAATATATGTAATCTATGCTAAAACAGTATTTATAACACATGAAGTATATGTTGTTCATCTCATGAAAGTGTATCTATAGAGTCTAAGTTGTAGTTGGATAAATTTAAGTAGGAATAGGAATAATTTACTCATCAAAATATCAATGGAATTATAATATTGAAATTTATATAATATTCCAAAAAGATAACAAATATGTTGCCACATTCTTATCCCTGGAAGAGCAATTTTATGAATAAAATCCTATGCACATCATGTTGACATTTTCCATTAACTAAAAGTATTGTCATTTCTTTTCTTTTTCATTCGCCAAAATACTATCCAAGTGTATCTTTTTTTTTAATTTTGATAATGTATGTCATTTTATTGAGAAAGATTTTTTTATAAAAAAAATCAATACTTGTGTGCTTGTATTTTTAAATTGTAGTAGTATTTAGATTTATTGTGTAGATTTAATTTAATTTTTATTTTACTCCCTTAAAATAATAACAAGATATAAAGTACGTGTAATCATTTTATTATAAATTTAACAAAATTAGTCATAACAAATAAAGACTTGTAAAAATCTAAATGGCCAAAATAAATTTTGAAATGTGTAGTGCTATTAGTAGTCAATGAAACAAGAGTTGCTATTATTCTAACTCAATGAGAAAAGAATCAATCTTCATCTTAAAGAAAAATAAGGACAAGCACTATACATTTATATAAAATTTTAAATAAATCATACTGTTTCTAACTTATGAACAATATACCGTACTATATTTCTTTTTATGCTTACATAAAGATATGAATGATAAGCACAGCAAGAGTTGTTGGTCCAAAAAAAAAAAGCACAACAATGGTTGAGTTTTATGAGACTAACCTGAGTATTTTTTTTAAAAAAATAAAATTAAATTTATATGTTGATAGAAAAAATATACTCCCTCTATTTAAAAATATAAGGCATTTTTAACTGGATCTCACCCATCAATAAAGTAATTACCTACTTTCAAACTAACCTTATTTTTTTATATTTATTTCTATTAAACATCCTACAATAAATATAAAGTTATTATTAATGAGGATACTTTTAAAAAAAGACAATGATTACAACTCAAAAAACTAAAAAGTCCTTACATTTTTAAACATCCAACTTCTTAAAAAATATCTTATATTTTTGAACAGAGGGAGTATATCTTAACCTCCGATAACAGAGCAATTTGGCCTCTTATTATTAGTTTTTTTTTTACCATAAAAAAGGAAATATCATGTCTGGCGAATAATGGCTGGAACATCTGAAGCACAAAGTTGTGTAATGGAATATGTCTTCATTCAGCAAAACCATTCTATGAAGATCAAACAAAATTTCAAAGCCAACCAATTAAAAATTTACAGCCAAAAACGGAATCAAATAAAATATAATACTCCTTCTTCCTCTTTGGTGAACAAATATAATATTACTTCTAGGTCAAGCTAATCCTAATTATTCCTGTTAGTTATGGGATATATCGTACTTTTTTATTGTCTAAAAAGGAAAAAAAATTTGGTCCGAAGTTGTTGATTTGATGTGGTTAGTTCCCACTAGATCTGCAATTTCAACCAATCCAAACGAAATTCCTTTTTTTTTTTTTGGGGGGGGGGTTTCAAAATCCAAACGAATTTCATTATCTAACCATCTTTTTCACTTTATTGGTCCAACCATTGCCATATTCTACAATTACGTCACCACACTCATTGCAATATGCTCTCTCGTGGTTCTACATGTAAGTGCTCGATAACTAATTTACAGATATTCAAAAATTAATAAAATTAGTTATTTATAAAAAAAAATATGTGTTTGGTTTTTCTAAAATACTCCTTTTAATTACTTACAAAAAAAAAACTATACCTATTGATGGAAACTCCCATCAATATGTGCAATTTATATGGATAGTTTGGGAAAAAATTATAAACTTGGGAAATAAAGTTAATTGAAATCTTATATTTAGGATCAACTCCAATTAGCTCACACATTTAGACGTGGAGAGAATATGTAGTCAAAGCATAAAGGTAAAAATGATATAGAAATTTCTGGGGAAAAATATTCAGTAAGTATATGTAATTGCAAAAATTATAAGATACGATAATGAAGACATGCATTAAGGAAGAAATTTAACTTGCTAAACACATCCTCTGTACTGATATATGCGTGTATACCAAAAGAATGAAGAACAATCAACTGATGGTTGATTCGAGTAGTAAAAAAGTTATGCCAACGTCATCAAAAGTCTCAAATTTGAGTTTTAAAAATGTAACAGTATTAGTAGTGAAGCTTCCACCTGAAAGTATCTTGACTTATTTTGACCCAGAGTAGTTTATATTTCATTAAAATCTTCTCAACTCAACGTGAGGCAAGCCCAAAAGAATGATTGCAATATGCAAAAGAAAATAGAAAAAAAAAAAGAAAAAGAAAAGAAAGAGTGAAGGACGCTAGCTCCTTCATGACAAAGACACTCAAGTCTGTTGTGTATTTTCAGGCTTTGCTTGCCATTTTAATTCAAAATTACAGCAGCAAGTTTGATCAAAATCTCAGATACAAAAGAAAAATGAACACGATCGCGCAGATTAAAAGAGCTCTTTCTGGCCAGCTACGTTAAAAAGATAATTGTTTTTTCTATTGCATGCCAAACGTGCCATTAGCAATAATTGCCAGCACAATTGTTCCAAAAAATAAAAAAAAAAAAACCCTTTATTTCTGGGTATGTTCATTAGTGTTCTTAGATTGCAATAAGCATGTTCTTAGAATATGTTCATCAATAGCATGTGACTTTTTTCCCCCTCTTTTGGTCAGAAAATAGCATGTGACAAACATAGAAACATGTTGGACACTGGTTCTTCTAGCTTTGTTATTACTACTCAAATTAAAAATGTGAAACTACTTTTCACCCAAAAAAAAAAAACAAAAAGAAAAGAAAAGAAAATCCTTAAACTAACAAGAGTTCCACTTGATCTCACTCATTCAATGTTGTTCTTTAACAATGGTTGCTACAACCATTTTTTAATGTCGCAGTATCTAAAACTATAGGCTGATGAGAGACACACAGTTCAAAGTGTATAAATCATTCTCTCATTCTTTAAACTGCCATTCCCGACGGCACATTGGGCAATGAGCTTGTGAAGTCTGAGAATTCACCCATTTCAGTATACAGTGCAAATGAAAAGCATGATTGCATGCACCCCAAACTGCAAGGTTTAAAATGAATCAGTTACACCTTTTTTGAAAAAAACAAAAACAAAAAATAATAATTGAGATTAAGAAAGGAACATGATATCTCAACAGGAACCTGCACATAATGATGAAACACATTTCACTCAAATGTTCAGCAAAACAGGAATATTTCCGCAACACTGAGATACCAGTAACCTTTGAAAAAACCATCATAAAACCCCTTTAAATGTAATAGACTAATTTTGAAATTCTGGATACAGTCGGATATGACTTGAATAATAGAACCAATGCACCAGCAATGGGTTTGACCCTTGATAAGACTGGCAAGGGAAGGTGTACTGGATTGAAGGTGACGCATTTCACACCTTTTCAGAAGGACTTGACTACGGTTCTGTTGCCCAAGAGCTATTTCAATAGCCACAGCCACAACCACCAAGTTAAGTCCTAGAGATCAGGCAGGAACCTCCTTTTCATCCTCTATGACGGCTTATTATTCACCACCATCATGAACCAATCTTTTTACCTAGCTAATCCAGAAGACCAGGGCAACATTAAACCGAGAATATACTAACACAACGGAGAGAACCAACCAGCGAGTGCTTCTGATTTGGAGTGAAGGTTGAGGACGAGAGTGTCTCTAGCAGATTTGGGGTGTCTGCTACCCCCTCTAATGCCTCAAATCACAGCCCTTCATTTGAAGGAATTAGATAAAATTTCTCTGACTATAAGTGGAAATGAAGGAGAAGGACTGACATTTGAGGCATTAGAGGGGCAGCAGCCACCCCAAATCCGTCTTTAGCATTCTAACCTACAGGTAATTTTTTGCAGTTGTATTCGGTGTGCAGAAATCAAAGGAGGTCTCTCAGAAAATCAGATAACCAGCTATCAAGCCTGCTGCCTCAGCGGCAGGTCTGAAGAATCAAATTTACGGAATTCAATCATAATTATTTGGCATAAGCATGACAGAAGCAATGAAATGCACCTATGATATCATCGGTAACTTACTCAAAGGGCAGTCATCCCCGGGATGTTTACAGTCTGGGCAACAGCCATCAAAAGCCATCCTACAAATCCCACATGTTTCATCCTGAGCATCCCATGTCCATGATGCAATAGCATGCCATCTATAATCAATACAAGGAGCAAGAATTTTAAAATTTTAAGACAGGAAAGCCAACAACAGTTAAACATGCCGAGGAGCTTCCAAGAGTTATTTCACTATTTGCAAGAATAGAAAAACAAATCCATAATTAATTAATAATTCCAAGCATTTACATACAATTATAAATAATGATTACATACGACAAGTTAGAAGCCAAAATTTTACATAACAGATCTTCAAGATAGAAAGAGAACATACTCTTTTTGGAAGCCCAGAGGAAATCCAGACAGAAAGCTGAGTCAAGCAAAACATTCTACAAAATAATTGATATGCTTACATCAAAAGTTTTTAAAATGAAACACAAAATAAAACATATAAATTCAAAACACGGATATTCTATGACAACCCAATATAAGAATTTTAAACCTAACTACATTGAATCTCTATCGTTGTTTGCAACAACATGGGAATCGCAATTTAAAAAGTTCCAGATGCAGCTTGCAATAAGCTTTTATCTGGTATGTGGATTCTAAAAGGAGGTCATTTTACAAATCCCATGGTTCCCTTAAACAGATTTAAAATTCCCAATTTGCATGCGGCACCAGCAACAGTGAACTATCTAAATATACGATCCTGCAGAGGATGTCAAATATGATGCTGTACTTCTTATTACTCCATGATTGGCAAGATGAATGGGAAAGCTTTAAACAAACCATTCTCTGTAATTTCAACATTGCATTCTAAAAGTAGATTAAATCACTCTCACAACCATGAAAGACACTTTTGGTAAAAAAAAAAAAAAATCTATGAAAGACCCCAGTGAGGAAACGAAACTACTAAAATTCACAATTGAAAGACGAACAAATAAACACAAAACAATGAGCACAGCAAAAAGTAATAACAGGACTAGCATTTTGGCAAGGATACGCAAGACCTTAACTTTCATCTTCTTTCCCTGCAATCTACAAATAAAAAGCAAGCACAATCAAGGTTGGAACTTGAATCCATTAAAAAAACATAGCTTTTTATTTTAAAAAAAAAACAACATAGCCACGGAAACGAAATGAAACACTTATCACTAGCCGGTATATCTTAAACCTGTCCAAAATTAGTCTTAATCGAAAGGGAACAAATTCAAGAACTTAATATCCACCACTTTATTTGATTTTATCATCTCGGAAGGGGAGAAAAAATTCAAACTCAAATTTGAAAGATATATCTCTAAATTGGAAGAATACCACATGGCGGCAACTTGGGAAAAAACATATAAATATTACATCAACGATACAAAGATCATCATTTATACCGCTAATTTAAGTACCAAAACCATATCAATGATCGAGTAAAAATTGTAGAGAAAACCAGAATCCGGAACAAGTATTCAGACAATCAGACCCATACCCATTGCATGAAATACCCCAGACGCTCATGCATTCACACTCCAACATGCATTTTTCCATCAACTCAGACGAATACATGGTGAATTGATCGTAACCATGTCAATCACATTCTAAATTGCAGATAAAATGAGGTGCAGAGTACATGCCTGCAAACCAAAGGTTGTGATAATGCAGGTTGGGTGGAAGACGGAGTGAGGATTAAAGACCTGTTCGACGGAAGAGAGAGATGCCGACGCCAATAGGAGCTGAACAGATGAAGACGATGAAGTTCTAACTTCTAATGACAGCATATTACAACAATGTGCGTTAATATGTCCAATTATTGCAAGACCAGTTTGCCAAAGATTTACCAAAACACAAGAATTACATCTTTATTGAAAGTTTTTTTTTTTTGGTTGAAAAGTCTATACATGTTTATTAATAACAGCAACACAACAGTCAAAAAGAACAATCCAGTCTCTAAATTCGCTCTGAGTCTGCCAATATAAATGCTATCCTTCCAAGAACAGGTATGAGATGGTTCGAAAAATATTAAAGTGACATGACCAAAACCATTTCCTAGAATGTCACGACAACCTCCTGTGGGATTTTTCAGGGAGGGAGTCACACGAGATTTAGGTTGGATGAGGGGAAACCCATGATTTAAGTATGAAGAGAACAGAGATAGAGAAGGGAATCGTTGGGCTGGAGGTGTTACCTGCCTAATCGATGGCAAGACCGGCGGCCAATCCTCTGATTAGTCCACGGTGAGTGCGTTCAATGGGAGAGCTTCGTTGACGGAGAAGGCCGTTGGCGAGTGATCAAAGAGCGGCAAAAACTGAGAAAGAAATTAGATTTGGGAGTGAAAAGGTTTCCTGGAAGAGGAAAGTGAATAGAGGCATAAGGCTTTTTTAAGGGAAAATCACAACAAAGACCTCGGAGAGACATTTATTACAAACAAAGGCCAAACGATATGGAGATGTGTCTGAACACAATAGTTATGTTTAAGTATGGAAATGTGGTCAATATGGTCTCAGGTGTCCAACTTTGTGATGCAAAATAATTATAAAAAAAAATAATGTCATTAACTAGATCATTAAATTATCTTTCTGTAAACATTTAGATCATCTTAATTGAATGTCAAATGAAATTTAAAATTTATTAAAAATTCGATCCCTGGATCTATCATAATAGCAAGTTGTTGCTATGAATTTTGTGTAATGCACCATGACAGATGACACCTATATTGTGGTGCATAAACATTAGAGTCTCACAGGTCGTGACATATTTAGATGACTCATTTTTCTTCAAAAATGACCTTTAAGCCTTAAGTTTTTTAATATTTTCAATCTTACTTGATATCTCATGTTTCGTATGATTATAACTCTATTTTTACATATTTCTTAGTTTTGAAAATTATAGTCCTTTATTAAAAACTTGAGACTTCGTTTGATTTTAAAAGGATTCTAAATCATAGTGGGTTTCAACTTTTTCTATTATACTAGAGTTTAATTACTTAGTTTAACTATTGTATCATGGTATAATTCTTCTATCATGGTAAGGACTATATGCATATATAATAAAAGATTTATTTTGATAAGTTTAATTTTATTAACTATAGTAGACCTTTGAACTGATATTTTCCTTTTCTAATATGGCTAGCTATTTTCAATTGCAATTAAGCCTTTTTATCATGATAGGATAATTAGAATTAGTTATCTTCTAATTATCATGGTAGAGTTTGGTAATCGTGGTTAGATTTGTGGTCAAATATGGTGACATAATTGTAAAGGTGCTCCTAAATTAGGAGACTACATAACTCACTAACCGTGGTTAATCATGGATTAACTCAAGAGGATTATCCAAAAATGATTAACCTAACTTAACTCAACTTGTATTTTTCTTTTCAGAAGAAATATGTTTCAAAATTTATACCAAATTAGGATCCTAGGTTTTTCAATATCTAACTACGTCAAATGATTGACTAGTAATATTGCAATAGCATGAGATCAAAATATTTCGAAAAGGATTACATAACATATTATCATCATAGCATATTCACATGCAATCTCATTACATGTCATCACATATAAATCCCACATACACATACATGACAACCTCAAGTCATATATACATACTACAACATGCTTACTTTTCACATTTTCATCTATTTAATTCATAGCACATTTCATCCAACTCACCCCGAATTCAAAAGCTAAGGGAAGGTTATTGCATAAATTAAATAAGTTTATCATCTATTCATGCATAACAATTTCAACTCATTTGCACTAGTATTTTAACCCTTTCAATTTAACCCATGCATATTACAACAAGCCTAGGGCCCAAAATACACAACCACCACATTTCAAAACCTATAAATGCAAGTGACAAAATATAAATCCTAGTTGGCAATATAAAAATAATTCATACACATAAACTTAAAACAACCACACCCTGTAACTTGAAAACTCTCAAGTCCCTAGGCTTATCTCTCATTTTCTCTTTCTGATTTGGATGAGTTAGCACCTGTAAAATATTTAAGAAAAAAAGGTTAAGTACAACCGCTCAATAATCAAAGGTACATATAACTCATATAAATGCATGCTATTCAATTATAAATGCATATGGTCATTTTTAACACTAATATTCATACAAGTGATTATTATCAACTCATAAGTTCACTAAACAAGCATATAGCATTTGTTTATGCATAATATGTTACAACTCAATCATGATAAACACGTTCAGCTTCGCTATGGCCTACAAGCCATCATACTTAGTCAGGCTGATAAGCCTTTATTCTCATGATGTCACAATTCCCACATGTTATTCATAATCAAATAATCTATAAATGATTCTCAAATGTAATACATGATCAATGTCCCCCTTATATCCTTCTTATACCCTGAGACATGAGATTTGTGAGCTTAATTGTAACATCCTAAGTTTTTAATATGGGAATTATTAGTATTTTTAAGGATATTTTAGTCAAATTAAATGATTTTTTTATTAATGACATTTATAGGAGGCTGATATAATTTTTAGATCCTTGAATAGCCTTAGAAGAATGCTAGGTTGAAGTTTTAACAGGCCATTGTATGGAGGAAAGTTTAAATTATGGTGGGGCTCTCTATGTCATGTGTCGCAATGGATGTGTCAACACGCCACAACGCACATGCAAAAAATCACCTTTATCATACTCACTAAAACAGACTGAAACTAGAGGAAAGAAGGAAGGAAAAATTAGAGATCAATAAAGGAGACCTAAAGGTAATTAGGGCACAATCTTAGGGCATCTTGGAGGCACATTGGGTTTACTACACCTTGGGTAAGTTTTCCTTTCCTCTTTCTCTCCATTTTATGCAAATTCCTAATTTTAGGGCATTTAGGGGTTTGTTTTTAGTTGTGGTTGAGCAATGGACGAACCCATTAACTTATTTAAGGTCTTGAAAAGTTAAATCAAGCATCTAACCTTAATTTATAGGTTTTATGGTGATTGAATTTTTTTTAAGGGTTTGATCGAACCCTAGGCATAATTTGAAGGTTTGAAATAATCTGGGTAATTGGATGATGATTTGGTATTTTTGGATATTACATAAGATTGTTAGAGTGTTTTAAAGGGTTGATTGTTAAATAAGGAATTGAGAATTTTAGATACTTGGAATCTAGTGAATTCGGGGTTATCAGAGTGATAATGATAATTGTCATTTAATTGTGTAGATTAAGGGTTGTTCGTGTGTTATTATATGCGTGGAATGTGTGGAGCTAACGTTGAGCTATGGAAACCTTTTTTTGACAAAGGGTTAAGATAACATAATAATTTACACTAATTAATTATATTGTTTAACTGTTTGTGAGTAGATAAGTATATTTATTACATGTATTTGAAAGCTTGGCAGTTGTGAAAGATATTTTCTTTGTGCATTAGAGATTATGTTTGAAATGATAAGATTTTTGAGTCTTTATGTAAAAAGATCGTGACTTTTCACAAGTATGTGAAATATATAAAAGTAAGAGCATGATCATGTTAGGGTAGGAGTTCACCCGTAAGAGGAGTAGTAGAGGTCTATATGGCATGTATCTCCTTAGTGTCTAGTGAGATATGGGTTGGATATTATCTCCTAATATCCATACGGATACGATGTTAGAGAGTGATGCACCTTAGTATCAGTTATGCATTGTTGGAATAACAACACCTCAATTCGAGGAAACTATAGTCCAGAAGTGATATAGGACACCTTGGCCAGGTGATCCTACTACTGAAGGTGAGCTCGAACCATTATGAATGTGCATTTGGTTCAAGAGCCTATAGTTTCAGTCGGGGTGATATGAAGGTTCGGATGGAAGAATGATTATGCTAGTGATAAATGATTTGTGTTTACGAAAGGATTTGTTGAATTCAAATGGTTGTGCATGTTAATTAATAGTAGTAAATTATTCTGTTACTAAAATGTTTATCTTGCCCTGTAGTTATATTGTATAGGTAAGAGCTCTAGTAAGGGCAAGGGAAGGAAGGATCAACCAAAGAGCGAAGAGCTTATTTGTATATCTCTTCTCCTTGTCATTTTGGTTTGTAATGAATATGCCATAATATTATGCCAGCTTAAGAGCATGACATTATTTTATTATCACTGTATAAGAATATGTGAAATAAGTATGTATCTTGACCTAAGATTGATGCTATTATGATTGATTGAGTGTGTTCGACCAGGATACAATTACAAGTGATATAATTGTGATAATTTATGTGTAAAAATGACCAAAATAGTATTTATATTAAATTTATCCACCTTTTTTGTGAATTGGGGTTTGGCAGTCGTTTTGAGTATGTTTGGTTATTTGTGTGATATAAATAGCCCTGTGTGTTGTGTGTGATCTATTTTAGGTGGTCAAAGTAATTCTGGAGCTAGTGACATTTAGTAGTGTGTTTTAGACACTTTTGAAAGTATTTTGAGGTGAAAACAAACCATTTTGAGTTTCGGTGTCCATATTTTAATGAATGATTTTTTGTTGAGATATGCCATTAGGTAGAGAGCTCAAAGAACTTCGTGTGGACACTTGAACTACTCAAATTAGACGTTGGATGGCGAAACAACGTTCTCTAAAAGTTTGAAGTGCTGTCATGACAAGAAATAGGTGCACGCCACGATGCATAGCATTGTGCCACAGCACAATACTTATTGAGGAATTCATCCCTCTATGTCATCTGTTGTAGTGGGTGTGACGACAAATGGCCAGATCTTGAAAAATTTTCAGATTGTATCACCTTGTTTTAGAGTGCTATTTGATTTTCATGCTTCTGTTATCATAT